TAACAGACTGAACTTTATCGAGCACCTACTGTGTTGTCTACAGAATGGAGACTCAACCATGTAACAGACTGAACTTTATCGAGCACCTACTATGTGCCAGCCACTCTTTGACATGCCACAGACACAGCTCCAAAGCAGGCAGAGAAGTGCTCATGGATGTGACCCTCTAAGTGGGGCAGACAGATGATAGACAAGCAAATAAACCAGGCTACTTCAAATGTGCTTTAGGATCGAGATGATGTCATAGAGAGTGGCTAGTGTATGTGCATGTTTCGGAGAAGATATTTGAAACTAGGTCACTGAGGAAGGGCTGTCTGGTGAGGAGGGGCATCTTAGTTCATATTTTTAAGAAGAGAAGGAAACAGTTGCATAAACATCCAAGGGAAAAGTATCTCAAGCCGAGGGAATAGCAAGTGCAAAGGTCCTGAGGTAGGACCAGGCATTGTGGTTTGGAGCTCCACGGAGATGAGGTCAGAGGGCAGGTGGGCCAGACCAGTCAGGGCCTTGTGGGCCTCCTAAGGCCCTGGGATCTCCTTCCATGCTCATGGGGGCATTCAAGGAGGACCCTGCGTGTGGCGCGAGCTGATCTGCCTTTTGATAGGATGCCTCCCCTGCTCCGCGCAGCGCACGTTGGGGAGACAGAGCCCGGGCAGGCGCAGCTCTGCTCCTCACGGCCTCTCCTGACCTCTTGCCCTCCCAGAGGCCCCTTCGCCCACCCCGGGTCCATGGCGACGGCCTGGGCTCCCCCGGGCGCCCCCGAAGCCCCACCCTGCGCCAACCAGAGCTGCGCCCCCCAAGACCTGGTCCTGCTGGGCTTCGCGCACGTGCTCAAGCTGCGGCCGCTGCTCGCTGCGCTCTTCCTGGTCGTGTTCCTGCTCACGCTGCTGGGCAACGCGCTCGTCGTGCTGCTGACCGCCCTGGACCCGGCCCTGCGCGCGCCCATGTACTTCTTGCTGCGCCACTTGGCCCTGCTGGAGATCTGCTTCTCGCTGGACGTCGCGCCCCGGCTGCTGGGGACCCTGCTGCGGCCCGGGCGGGGCGTGTCCCCCGCGGGCTGCGCCCTGCAGCTGGTCCTGGTGCTGTCGTGCGTCCCGTCCGAGCGCTTCCTCCTGACCGCCATGGCCTGGGACCGCTACGGGGCCATCTGCAGGCCCCTCCGCTACGGCGCCATCATGAGCCCCCGGCTTTGCCACCTGCTGGCCGCCACGTGCTGGCTGGCCGGAGTCCCCGTGTCGCTGGTCTTCACCATCTGGCTGTTCCCCGTCCCCTTCTGTGGGCCACGTGGCATCCGCCACTTCTTCTGTGACATCGCCCCTCTGCTGAGCCTGGTGTGCGCGGACACCAGAGTCTTCGAGGCCAGTGTGTTGGCGGGCCACAGTGCTGGTCATCATGGTTCCCTTCTGTCTGATAGCCACGTCCTACATTGGGGTCTTGGCCACCGTGCTCCGGATGCCATCCGCCGCGGGGCGCCACAAGGCCCTGTCCACATGCGCCTCCCACCTCATCGTGGTGGTTCTGTTTTATGGCACCACGGGGGTCATCCACTTGCGACCCAAGGCCAGCTACTCCCCAGAGAGCAAGCAGGTGATGTCCCTGTCCTACACCCTGGTGACCCCCATGCTCAACCCCCTCATCTACAGCCTTCGGAACAAGGAGGTGAAGGCTGCCCTGGGACGGGTGTGTGTTCAGAGAAGAGGAACCCATATTCCATGACCGCTCTGGGATTCCAGCCCCCTTCATTCAGCCTTTGCTGGATAGCCCTCCCAGAGCGGTAATTAGGCACCTCGACGTGCCCCACACGGAATTCTTTGTTTTCCTTCTCTGATTCCCTGTTTTGGCAACGGTGCCAATGCCTATCTAATGGCCGTCTTGAGTCCAGCCATCGTTCAGGCACACTCTCTTGAGTATAATAGGGTTCTGTTCCTGGTAGCGGAGCCTGAACCGTATGTGTGTTTATGGTCATAGTATGGTTCCCATGGAAGTGGTGTGGCAAGCTTTCGCAAATATGAAAGCAGGCCACCCAGTTAAATTTGAATTTCAAGTAAACACCAAACAGTTTTGAGTACAACTTTGTCGCCATGCAATATTTTTTTGCAATTCTTTTTAGTATAAATATGTTTTTCTTCTTCTTGACTGAATAACATTCCATGGTATGTATCACATCTTCTTTATCCATTCAGCTGTTGATGGGCACTTAGGTTGTTGCCATATCTTGGCAATTGTGAATGATGCTTCAGTAAACACAGGAGTGCATACATCTCTTGGATATCCTGTTTTCATTTCCTTCGGGTATCAATCGAGAAGTGAAGTTGCTGGATCCTCTGGTGGCTCTATTTTTAACTTTTTGCAGAACCTCCACATTAATTTCCACAGCGGCTGCAGCAACTTACATCCCCACAGATGGTGCACGAGGGCCCTGTTTCCTCACCGACACTTACCTCTTGTCCGTTTGATGATAGCCATTCCAACAGGTGTGAGGCCATTTCTGTGTTTTTCAAAGTTTTTATTTGAATTCCAGTTCGCTAACGTACAGCGTTCTATTAGTTTCAGATGTACAGTAGAGTGATTCAACACTTCTATACGCTTAGTGTGGTTTTTATTTGCATGATTGGTGTTGCCAAGTGCCTTTTCATGCACCTCTTGGCCATCTGGGTCTTCACTGGAAAAATGTCTGTTCAGTTACAATTTTATTTTATTTTAATTATTTTTTATTGTTACGTTAATCACCATACATTACATCATTAGTTTTTCATGTAGTGTTCCATGATTCA